GTAAGAGAGAGAAACAGCATAGAAATGACAATACAAATCAGGTGTACTCATTAGAAGCTGAAGATGTCCACTCACAAGATTGGCAAGTTGGGTAGGAAAGGCAAACTCTGGAGCTTTGTTATCTCCCTTGAATGATAATCCTGGAAAATAAGCCCTATGTCCTTTGGCAGTGTGAGGGTATTTCTGGTAAAACAGGAGTTCATTCAAATTAATTTAAATTAATAATGAAGTTAATGCAAATATAAAAGAAATATAGTATTTCATTTTTGCAGCAGTCTTTCAAGTAGAGAAAGAAACTGTAGACACTATTTTTTGTATTCTAAAATCAAAGGAGAAGTATTTTGTCACTGTTCTATATTATCAATCAGTCCTGAGATTCAAGTTTTGGCAATGAAGATATGTGACTATAAGCTTTCAGATTCATGTTTAAAAGAATATAGAACCTCCCTTACAGTAAATAAAGGTATATAGTTCCTAGAACTGAAATTACAACTGAATAAACAACTACCAAGCAATTATTTATTAGATAATGTAAACCACTGACATGATGTTCTTTAACAGGAATTAGTTATCCAATATATAGCCAAATATAATAATTCTTTTTGTGGCATTGACTGTAACATATTTGAAGGTTTGGTATAAAATTATTTCAAAAATTGTTAATAAACATCAACATGTAAGAAGGATAAAAAATAATAAATTATTTATTGCTAGGATAGAAAAATAAAATGAAAAGAATTATTTAATGGACAATAAAATAAAAGATAAAGATTCAAAAAAACAATAGAATTTCTTTAACTATTAAAAATTTTAACTGATATATAATAATCAGACATATTTATGGGGTACCATGTGATATTTTGATACAGGTATACATTGTGTCCATTCTGGGTAAATCTATCCCCTCAAACACATCATTTCTTAATGTGAAAATGTTCAAAATTGTTTCTTCTAGCTTTTAAAAATTAAACACATGTATTACTCAGTTTAAATAAATTGTATCAGGGTAAACTCATCTAATACACATTATTTTGAACTACCAGAAGAACAGGAAATTGGAATTAACAAATTTTCCACTTTTTAATGCTAGATATAGAAAGTGCAATTTTTGTGAGAAGTAAAAAACTGTCTACAGTTCTGTCTCCTCATTTCTCTGCCCTCTTCCCTCTCTTAGGTAGGGAGAAGTCACTAATTTCCCTAGGCACATCCTGTAGGCAATCTTGAGTGACTTTGTAAGGATTTTTCATTTTGTTCTGTAATCCTACTTCTTTTTCAGACTGGTTATTCCTCTGCCTTTCAAGAACAACTTTGTTGAAATAAAATTCACATATTTTAAAATTTACCCATTTAAGTGTATAATTCAGTGGGTTTTAGTATATTCAGAGTTGTGCAGCCATAATAACACTGTCTAATTTTAGAATATTTTCATTATACCAAAAAGAAGCCCACTGCTCATTAGCAATCACTCTCCGTTCCTCCCCCCATATCACCAGCCCCAAGTAACTACTAATCATTTTATGTCTCTATGGTTTCGCTTATTCTGGACCTTTCACATTAATCATGCAATGTGTCCCCCCCCCACACACACATTCTTGATTATTTCCCTGAGGTTTTCGGAAAGCCTACTTGTGATCTGACAGGTCAATCATTTTTAAGATTTCAGCCTTATAACAATATTTTCCTCTATTTTTCCATTACCTCTGCATCATAAGTATTTCAAATAAAATATTAACTCATACTGACTAACAAGATGTATTGCAGATTTGTAAGCTTCTTGACAACAGAATTTGACTTCCAAGACAATGAAAGCAAAATGCATGTTTGAACTGGAACTGACTTTGAGGGGTGTATGTGTTCAATATGTTTGACCACACAGATGGTTTTTACATTATCCTCTGATGACAAAATAAAACAAATTGTGCTTCTAGTATGAATTAACTCAGTGTTAGAAACATACTTTCTCCCCATTGTTAAACTGTCTTTTAAACTTAACCCATTCACAGTTATATTGAGGAACCAGTGATTTTGGGCCAACTGTTAAACATATTTAACACTAACTCAAATAAAGAGATAATAAGAATCTAATGATATACTTTAATTTCTGTAATTCTATGAGTTTTTAAAAGTGACTATTATAACATTTTTATGTTTTTATTTTTATTTATGTAAAGAGAACAGATTTCATGTATTTCATAGATGCGGTTCTAAGGAGATAAACACACTTCCCTTCCTCCCCCCTCCCTCACCCAATTTCCCTCCTTCCCTCCATTCTTTTCTTTTCATTAATCTTTACAGACATAATTTTGATCCACTGTATTATCACAGGCTTAATTCACCACTAACCATAATATTCAACAAGTAAGTAGTAGGAAGACCACAGTTACACAGGAGAATAAACAAGGGCTAAAACAAGTCATATCAAAAGATGTCTGTTTCATGCCTACAAATTTTATTGCATTCTATATTAACTACTACATATCAGAGAAAACATGCTATTTGCCTTTCTGGGATTGGCTTATTTCACTAAGCATACTGGTTTCCAGTTGCGTCCAATGCGATGTTTATAATAAGTCTTGAGACCAGTGTTGTGGTGCAGTGGGTTAAGCCACTGCTTGTGACACCAGTATCCCATACGAGCAATGCTTCAAGTTCTGGCTACTTTGCTTCCCATTGGATCCTGCTAATGTGCCTGAGAAGGCAGCAGAAGTTGGTCTAATGCTTGGGCCCCTACACCTATGTGGAGGACTGGGAAGAAGCTCTTAGTTCCTGGTTTCGGTCTGGCCCAGCCCTGCCATTGCAGATATCTGGGGAGTGAACCAACTGATGGAAGATTTCTTTCTACCTGTCTGTCCCTCTCTTTCTGTGTAACTCTGTCTTTAAATAAATAAATTTTTAAAAAGTAAGTCTTGTAAATATTTTTATATATTGGTCTTTTAAAAAATGACATTAAAGTTGAGAAGTATAATGGTAAATCTTTAGAGAAAGAATATGAGAGGCCTTCAAAAGCTTCATGGAAAATATATATTATGAAAAAACTATGCATGGATTTCAGGTTTTTGGCACCAAAATAAACTCACACTAACTTGTTAGAACATGTCAGAACAAGATCTGGTTTGAGGCCCTAAGAAGGATAAGACAGGTGTTTGTAAAGGGTCCTACCAGACAACATGAATTCTGCTAAAATTGCAAGAACCAACATCAAGTGATGATGAAATATGGATGGTAGAATGATGAAATCTTTGATGGTTGTGAAAAGTTTATGGCACAATATCCCAAAAAAAGCAGCAGTATGTACATGGATAACTCACATTGGGAAGAGACAAAGGTCCAGCCATGTGGTACAGGAGGTTAAGCTGCTGCCTTAGACACTGGTATCCTAGTGGTGGGTATTAGAGGGTGGGTTCCAGTCCCAGTTTCTGTGTTTCGGATCCTGTTTCCTGCTAATGTGCCTAGGAAGGCAGTGGAACATGGCCCAATAACTTGTGTCTCTGCCACCTATGTGAGAGACCCAGATGGAGTTATTGGCTCCTGGCTTCAGGCTGGTCTAGCCCTGCATGTTGTAGGTATTGGATGGTGAAGAGTGAATAAAGGTCTCTCTCCCCACCAACCCTGTGTGTGTGTTTGTGTGTGTGTGTGTGTGTTGTGAATACATATGTGTATACATATGGCTCTGTTGTCCTTCCATTCAAATAAGCAAATGTTTTGATTTATTTTATTTGAAAGGAAGATTGAGAGAGAGAGAGAGAGGGAGGGAGGGAGAGAAAGAGAGAGAGAGGTCTTCCGTCTGCTGATTCACTCCCTAAATGGCTGCAATGGCTACGGCTGGACAAGGCCAAAGCCCGGAGCCAGGAGCTTCATCTCCCACATGGGTGCAGGGCCCCAAGGATAATGTTACAAAGATTGCGTTGATACCGTTAAATACTCAAGACCCTGAGTATGTTAGAAATGGGCTCTTACTTGGTGCTGTTACTTTCAAAGTGTTTTGAACTTGCTGGGGCTTATGTTAAGAAATGAAGTTTGTAATTTTTATATTTTAATTCCATTATGCACAACAGTAGAAAAGTGTTGTCCCATTGTTAAAAATAAGAGTAGCTGAACACTGAGTTACTTTACAGTAGATTTTATAATGATAGTTTCTTTTACTTCATTATCTTTTATCATTTCACAGCACAGAATTCTCAGTAGACATTTGAAAGGCTTTAATTTTCAGTGGCAATATATTTTATATTTACAGTGTTCATGCATATTATGTCTTTCTCCAATAAAATTACACTTAAAGGACTTTTTGTTGGACATGTTGTAACTTGATGAGTTAAAGTATTCAGTATAGCATAGTAGGAAGAGATGAACTCTGGAATGCAACTGCCTCCATTCCAATATCATTCCTGTCAACCTTTAGTGGTCTGACCTGTGCAAGTGAGTATACCTGCTTGTGCTTTAATTTCCTCAAATGCAAAGTGAGCATTCATATTTGTACCTATTGTGAAGATTAAATATTATAATATATATATTGTGTATATATATACACATATATATTGTGTAATATATATATATATATATATATATATATATATATATATATATATAATGTGTATGAGGCTCTGGCACCTGATAAGTATGATGATAATTCTTTCATTCTCTTTGATATGGGCATAGGAGCAGTATATAATGACAAAGATAGCTAACGTATTAATCAGCAAGAAGTCTTGATTATGTTCCCTCTCATTTAGTGATTTTATATTTAACAATGAACACGTTTCTGTCTTCTCCAGCTTAGCTTTCAGAATATATTATGTCGTGTGTGTTATCATTTTGATAAAATATAGATTTATTGTATGTAAAACCATTAAAGTATAAATGAAACTACAAATGTTTGCTGTTTTACAATTCAGGGGAAATAAATATCTTCTATTATTATATTTTTATAAGAAAACACAGCAAGAATGAAATGCTTATGTTTTAAAGGCTTTAACAACATTCTTCCTCTTTCTTTGTGCCAGGGTTTTCCAGGTGACTTTGGAGAGAGAGGCCCTGCTGGTCTTGATGGCAGTCCTGTGAGTACATCGTGGTAGCCCAGCATTACACTTTAATGTCATTCGTACTCCACAACAACTGTACTTGCCATCCTCAGTACCATATTTTTGAATAACCACTAGTAAGACAGTTTCCAAACCACAGTGCACACTCCAATTTGTGATTTTTCAACATAGGAAATAACCAAAAATGTTATGGATAAACTCCATCATGGTATAAATCACACATGTTAATTATTTTGACTGTGTTAAATGTGATTGCTTAAGCAACATATTAAAATATATGATCATAATACTGATATTTATACATAAAGATGCTAACATACCTCATGGTAAAACTATACACTCAGTGCTTATTCTTTTGAACTCAGACCTTCTACTTTGGGATTATTCAGTTAGCAATGTTTCAGACTGGGAAAGAGTTACCATTCTAAAATCAGTTTAATGGCATTATCAAAGTTATCAAAGAATAATGATAGATTGTTGTAGCTTCACTTTGTATCCTCAAAGAGCATATCCCTAAGAATTACAATTATATATCCTTTTCATAGGATCTTAAAGATAAATTAGAAGGAACCTCAAAATCCTAGTAGCAAAATTGGGAATTGTTCCAATTTTAGGAAATAGTTTCTTTTGTACTTCTTTTTCAAGTTAACTACATTAACTAATTCAGTCAATTTAAACAAGGTTTGACTTGTTGTAAATAATGATAAGTAAAAGTGGAATTGATTTTCAAATCAATTATTAAAAACTTGAATGATATTTGATGTATAATATTTACCATTTTCTCTTTCCAATGATTCTGGGGAAATTCCCATTTCAGGAATGATAAAGTAAGCATTATTTAAGGTTTACAAAAAAAAAAAGTAATATTTATCTAGTGTGAAGATATATTTGATGTTTTGTCAATTACATATCATGAAGTATATTACAATTGGACTCAAAGTATTTAAAACTTTAGTTGAAATGTTTTTTGGAGAACATTTTGAATCTTTTAAATAGTTCAGATGCAAGAGAAAAATAGATATTTTTAGTTTATCAGTTTTAAGAATTTGAAATGCAAAAAAAAGGATTAGTAGGACTATCACTGTACTTTGTGTGATGTCAATAATGTTACACTGGCATAGAGTGGATTAGGAATATTTTAGAGTACAGAGTATAATAGAATGAGTTCCAAAAGACAAATCACATATCAGGTGAAAATGTATATTAATCATTAAAAATCTGATATTTATGTAAATAATATAAGTGTTGCTAATTCCTTATATCTGTATAGTACCTTATAAAAATTTTCAAAACTTTTTATACATAGGAAAATTTTATTCTGATATTTACACCCTGTGAAACTTTGTTTTTTAGATGAGATAAATGAAGTTTAGAAAATTTAAATAATGTGCTTCAAAAGAGTAGACAGTGTTGTAAACTAAGAATGCTAACCATTTAGGCTGACCACCTGTCTTTTCATACAAGTCATTTCAAAAATTAGTGGAAAATGAAATTAAAAGGTAAGTTTATCTTAGTGTAAAACAAATTGAATCTGTGCATTTTTAATCATAATATGCATTTTCCATGACATTTTTGAAGGCCTATCTTGAATGTTGATTATGGTGGAGTTTACTTCCTTTATTAAATCTACAGGAGGCATTGAGAGTTCTACATCCTAGCTAAGTGGTAGTCCTTGCATCCTAAAGCATGGAGCCACGGAAAGTTTTTGAAGAACATAAACTGCCTCCATAGTTTTCTACATCTCAGAAAGATGCATTAGAGTATAGACGTTTCAGAAGTCAGCTGAAGTAGAAGATTAAGTTTGATGTATTCCTTTCTAGAAGTTTCTATATTCATCTTCAGCACATACCTTTAACAGCAGGAAATCATATCTAATAAATTTTGCACATTTCTTTTACAATAGGGACTGGTAGGTGGCATTGGTCCTCCAGGGTTTCCTGGGCTTAGAGTGAGTATCACTAAATATTATTCTCATAAAATATCTTTTTGAATAATTTATACTTGTTAGATGTGTTTTCGAAACTTAGGAAAATGAAAAGTTTTAGTGGGTTTCAACCTTGCTCAAATGTATTTGTCAATTATATATGACAATCAGGCAGGTATTATGCATCAGAAAATTAATTATGTTTTGTAACAAACTAAAATAACACTATTTCTGTAGATTTGTATATGTGTATATATGTATACCTGCATCGTTAAAGGACACTTAGTCATGGCTTTCCTCAAAAGTGTAAGACATAGGATAGCCATTTCTTTCCTTGGAGATAGTCTTCTGTACCATCTAGTCTGGAGAGCACTATACCTAAACACAAACACAGGGATTTTAGGTAATAGAAGAAAACTGAAGAAATTGATACGAAAGCCATGTTAAACAAAGGTAGGAGCGAGGCTTCACCAACAACATTTAACTTTTTAATACCTAATTTGTTTATTATAATAAAAAGCGAATGAGTACGCTATGTGACCCCTTAATCAGTTTTTATTCACTGGTTTCAAATCTGAGTTTCAGTGGGGTTTCTGAAACAGGCAAAACAGAATTCAATAAAAACAATTCTATGGAGGCCAAACGAATGTCATGCGGGTGAGCAGTTTCTATTAAATCTTAGATTATTCATTGGAGGAAACCAACTGCTATTTCTGATACATACTCATAAATATATTTCTCTGAGCCCTGCTTATCATTTGTGACAGGGATGTGAACTGCACATATTTAATGTAAAGTTAAAGCAATTTGCATTACCATTCAGCTAAGCTAAAGGCAGATTTGACATATGTTTATGAAATCTAAGTAGCCTAATGAGAATAGAACTGTATAAGAAAACTACCCATCGCTATGTAAAAGTGGAATGTGATCATAGGCAAAGATAAGATAAAAACCACTTTAGAGTTTCTTTAACACTTGAAGTGGGTAATTTAGATTCCAGGGGTTTGTGCGGTAAACTATAACCACAATATTTTTTGCCTGAACACAGGTCTTCTGACTCCAATTTTAAAATGTTCTTTCTTCTACCTTTAATCACCCCGAATCACAGGATGACAGCTTAGTCAAAGGAATAAATTAGGAGCTCTGTTATTGAAACTGTGATCAGAATAAAAAGTTTTAACTTTATATTTTGGAATGACAGGAGTTTGAGATACAGAGTCAAAGAATGGGGATGAGTCTAAAGTGTTTAAACATTAAACTTCTGTTACATACAGCAGCAGTAACAGCAGCAATATTAACAGTAGTATCTCACATCTGTTCAGTATTTTCTTGGTACTAGCCACAATTGTTAATGTTATTTAAGTATTAGAATAACTCATGACCACTTAGCATCTAACTGTTTGAGCCCCAAACAGTTCTGTTTGAAGGCAGGTAGCTTAAATCCAGAACCCAAAATTGTAAATATCATGTTATAAATCACATCCTGAAAATGTATAATACCTTAAAATGTTATTTCATTTATAATATTATTTATAATGATTTATAAATATCTTATTTTAATATTATATATTTGTATTGTTATATTTATTATATAATAATATATAAGCATAATATATAATATTTTATTTGTTGATAATACCTTAAAATACATATTATCTACTTCTGAGATTTCTTCAATTTCTATAAGAAGTTCTATGTGAATATAGAAAACAATGGACCATGTTTTTTTAGGGATTTTTCTTCAAAATACAGAACAGGATTATATCTGCAGGTGATAGTAAATGTCCTTATCAATAGGTAGAGAAAAGTGGGCAGAGGGGTAACACGCCAGAGATGCTCTTCATGTGTTCTTCATGTAACTTATTAACTTTGGATTAGTTCAGAAGCTTCCATTATTACCTTTATGAATAAGACCAATATTCTTCACATGGTCTGGGCCATCTAGCTTGTTTTACTGCTTTTCTACATTGAGAAGACTTGACTTTATGCCCTGGCACAGCTGTTTATTCTCAGATTCCTGCAACATATCTTCTACAATACCTTCTTTGCTCATATTTGTCTACCTGAACTATATGACCTCTGCTTACCTGACTTTGTCTTACTTATTTTATTATCTGTATGTGAGGTTTACAACATGATGTTATAGGATACAAATAGAGAGTAAAATGGCTACCACAGAGCAGCAGACTCACATATCTATCATCTCAGTTTTTTAAAAAGTTAACTTTTATGCATCTCTCAACTCCAAGACGTAGAACAGTGCCTGGCATATAATAGTGTACAGTAAAAAACTGCATTTTCCATCTGTTCTCTTTCTCTACTCATCCATCAGCTAATGAGAAAAGGTTCTATAGAAAAGGAAATGGCTAATGATATTAACAGTTAACTACCTTTGTAATCCTCATCTCTCCTACACTGATCTCTCTCTCTCTCTCTCTCTCTCTCTCTCTCTCTATATATATATATATATATATATATACACACACACATGCACACACACATATATATAGTACTTTATACTGTTCAAAGTAGCTGCACATACATATCTCAATTACTCCTTAATGAGTTGCAAAGTATAAAGCATATATTATTACCACCATTTATGTTCATGACTTTTCTTTGAAGATTTATTTATTTATCCGAAAGGCAGAGTAACAGAGTGGCAGAGGCAGAGGCAGAAGGAGAGAGGTCTTCCATCTGTTGGTTCACTTCCCAAATGGCCACAACAGCCAGAGCTGGGCAGATCCAAAGCCAGGAGCTAGGAGCTTCTGGGTCTCCCACATGGGTGCATGTACCAAGCACCTGGGCCATCTTCTGCTGCTTTCTCAGGCCACAGCAGAGAGCTGGATCAGAAGTGGAGCAGTCAGGACTCGAACTGGCATCCATATACGATGCCGGCACTGCAAGTGGCAGTTTTACCCACTACATTACAGCGCTGGCCCTGTTCATTACTTTAAAAAAAAATCAAAACAGTATAAGTACTTACTGTGTATCAAACCCTGAACTAGATATTAGGCATAAAAATAAGAAAAATCAAGAGTCCTGTGTTGGGCAATGTTATGTTCTAATAGCTAGAAGGGGAAAAGTGAGCAATGTCATTATTTGCATTGTGATTATTGCTGTCATGGTCTAAATGTAAAGCCACTGAGAAAGGAACAGTTCATGTTAGCTCAGTGAGTCACTGTTGGCCTCACAAAGCTGAATCTTGAATGTTGTGTATGAATGGGATAGGGTAGAAAACAGGAAAGGGCCCTAATGCAGAAGAGTGCTATGTAGGGGAAACATGGATGTTCAGCAAATGGAAAGAGGGACAGTGGTCTTGTGGTGTAGAAAATCTGGGGGATGGCAGGAGATTGAAGAAGTGAGGGTTTTTTTTCTTTTTCTTTTCAACTTTTATTTAAAAAATATAAATTTCCAAAGTACAGCTTTTGGATTATAGCAGCTTCCCCCCCATAACTTCCCTCCCACCCGCAACCATCCCATCTCCCACTCCCTCTCCCATCCCATTCTTCATCGTGATTCTTTTTCAATTATCTTTATATACTTAGTATATGCTAAGTAAAGATTTCAACAGCCTGCACCCACAAAGACACACAAAGTATAGAGTACTGTTTGAGTAGTAGTTTTACCATTAATTCTCATAGTACAACGCATTAAGGACTGAGGTCCTACATGGGGAGCAGGTACACAGTGACTCCCGTTGTTGATTTAACAATTGACATTCTTATTTATGACGTCAGTAATCATCCGAGGCTCTTGTCATGAGCTGCCAAGGCTATGGAAGCCTCTTGAGTTCACCAACTCTGATCTTATTTAGACAAGGCCATATTCAAAGTGGAAGTTCTCTCCTCCAGAAGTGAGGTTTTGAAACTAATTGGGAAAGATTATGAAAAACCTTTGTAATTAACAGTAATAGTTTGTCTGCTTGTCCAAAGCTATAGCCTCTATTTTCTCTCTCAGATGTTCCTTTCTAGCAGGTATGGTTTCTGACAAGTGATATTATTGCTTTATATAATTTTCCATGCTGTTCATTGTTAATTGTCATTTGCTTTTTTAAATTACACTAGTGAGAGATTATCACCTATTGGTATGGTGATTGAAAAGCTTGTGTGGAACTCAGTCTTTTCCACAGCATCCTTATATGAACTCTTAATTGGCCAGTGGCTGCTGTTTTCCATACAACCTATCCTTTGTGTCTCTATATTTGGATTTAATGTAACTCAAAAATTCTCTATTATTTATAGTTGTGTGGGAGGCTCTTCTGCTTCTGGGACTATATCCCACCAACCCAAAACTTGGGTCCCTCACATGAAAGCATTCCTTAGGTTTGTCCCACCTCCTCCTGGAACAGGAATATAATAGAGAATGCTGAAGGACCTGCAGGTTACTTTTGTGATGCTGAAAGTGGTGTTTCAGAGAGGCATAGTGTTTTAAGACTAGGATTTTAGATGCAACTTTTAACTTGGCATTCCTTGGAAATTTCTATAACATAGCATACCATTCAATTTTTACTTCCTAAGTCTCCGTCCCACTAAGTTCTTTCCATCATAAATGTTTTTTGGTATTTCCTAATACTTACATTTTGTGATTTTGCTTTTAGAGTCACAAAAAAACTAAAGGTTATTGTACATACAAATTGTACAAATGTACAATCAGTATATTCATTTGAAGATGCCATATCAAAAACAATGATATATGGCCGGTGCCGCGGCTCACTAGGCTAATCCTCTGCCTTGCGGCGCCGGCACACCGGGTTCTAGTCCCGGTTGGGGTGCCGGATTCTGTCCCAGTTGCCCCTCTTCCAGGCCAGCTCTCTGCTGTGGCCAGGGAGTGCAGTGGAGGATGGCCCAAGTGCTTGGGCCCTGCACCCCATGGGAGACCAGGAAAAGTACCTGGCTCCTGCCATCATGGCGGCCATTGGAGGGTGAACCAATGGCAAAGGAAGACCTTTCTCTCTGTCTCTGTCTCTCACTGTCCACTCTGCCTGTCAAAAAAAAAAAAAAAAAAACAAACAAAAAACCAGTGATATATTTACTGAATTGAAAGTCTATAATATTACGCATGTGAAAAAACAGGATGCAGGGACTTTTTTTATGTTTGTAAGATTTAACATTAATAATTTCTGTAATTTCTGAAAAGAGATGTTTATTACATTCCCAAGATATTAATAAGCTTTGAACTTTGAATAAACTAGCTACTGTAGTCATTAGAGTAACTGTTTCCTATTGACTGAAATTGCAAGCAATGATGTATGAATATTACATATCTGTCAGGTTGGAAAGTATTACCCTTTGCCTCTAACAGTCCCATATGTTTCAGGATTAAGCATGTTGAAAATAATTTATGTCAGTTGTATTAACAGACTGTAAGATTCATCCAAAAGTCAGGAAGTCATGTTTTCCATTTGGAAATTTGTATAATATAAAGTCAGTCTATTAAAATACTCAGTTATATTGGAAGAGAGAGCTCTAGAAATTGCTGTTAAGTTTTTTTCAGTGAATTAACTCATTCAATAGGCACTCCATACTTTATTTCAAAACTATTATGTTCCAGTTACTATATTGTAGCTGGGAAATTAAAAAATAATAAATGAAACATACTTCCACTCTCACAGAATACACGGACCAGGAACACAGAATTTAAAAAGTAGAGTGCAATGTATGTTCTAAGTAGTATAGTAGAAGGATATTCTTGCAAAGTAACCATATCAGGAAAGAATGAGGACCTGTAATAAGGGAAAGCATATTGAGAAAATGAAAAACAAGTCATTGTCCTTAGAATGTAGGATTAGGGTAGAGAGATGAAAGAGAGGAGGGAAGAAAATGGAAGGAAAGAGACCGGAAGGGTTGGTAGAGCCCGATACAGAAGGCCTGGTTTGCTATCCTAAGACATCTGGTGGACAGGGGTTTGGTCTTGTGGTTAAGACCAATATATATATATTCCATACTGAAGTGCCAGGTTCAAGTTCCAACTCCACTTCCAATTCCAGCTTCTCACTGATGTGAACCTTGGGAAGAAGCAGATGATGGCAGTAGTTGGGTCCTACAACCTACATGGGAGACCTGGATTGAGGTCCCAGCTCCTGATTCACACCTGGCCTCGCCCCCACTTTTGGGGGCATGTGTGGAGTGAACCAGTAGATGAAAGATCTCTCTTTCTCTCTCTCTTTTTTTACAAATTTAATTATTAAAGAGATGTATAGGTTCTAAATACAATGGGCAACATTTTCAGCATTTCACAAATACAACTTTAAAATTTCCTGAACATTTGGAAACCATAAAAGAGAGGCTTGAACCTACTTTGTGTTGTAGGGTGAAGAATTGTTTGGAAGATAGGTCCAGTGAGGAAGTGAGAGAAGGGAGAAAAAAGAAGCCTCAGTGGCACAGAAATTATTACTTATCCACAAACTATCAAGGATGCCCACCTTTTTTGTTTTTGGAAATACCTCAATGGTTGCTATTGTCCTTTGTGTTCTAGTATGATAAGTAGAAGGAGTATTATTAGTCTCTTGCTTATAGATGATAGTGGTAGTTCTGTTTTTCAAAAAATTGGAGCATTAAGTTGAAAACCTAACATTAGACATTATGTCATTTTCCTCTTTCTTTCTTCAATACTGATACAGTGTCTGGTACATATTGTGCTCAGTAAGTATTAAATGACGAATAAATGAGATAAGCTCAGAAGAGTAGAGCATTTTGTCTTCTGCTCAGTTTATCTGTGAATTTATGGTAAATTTTCTCATTCTGCAAATTTCAAATAATAAAATCAAATTATAGAAATCACTGGCACATAGTGACTGCTCAAGAAAAATTTGCTGAATAAATGGGTCAAATTAAAATGTAAGGTGATGAAAGGAAGGATTTTTTAAATACTTCCTGGGAGTGTGGCACTGAAATATTTCTACAGGATGTTACCTAGCTGGTGAAACATTGCAGAATGAATGTCATGGACTATGAAGACTGCTCAAGAAATATCTGCTTGAATACATGGGTGCAATAAAAATCTAAGATAATGAAATGAAGTATGTATTGAATACTTCCTGTGATCACAGCACTAATGTATTTTTATAAGATATTATCTAGCTGAAGAAATATATAAGATGAAGTCATGGACAGGAATACAGGAGTTCCTTGGAGGAAGCAGCCTTGTGAACTAGTCCACAAGTTCCTGATAAGACTTCAGGAAATAAGCTAACCTTCACTTAAATTTGGAAGATTGGTATGATTTTTAAGTGTGGAGAGGAAAAGAAGTTGTTAAAAAGCAAGGCACATGTGGGAGCTTAGTGAGATGTGTTGATCCAGGTTCACTAATTTATTCATTTTACTACAATCTGTTTGATAGTGAATACTTAATGATACCTTTCTTTCTTACTGCTTTCCTAGGGCAGTTTTGGTCCTGTGGGACCAGTTGGACCTTCTGGAATTCCTGGGCCAATGGTATGGTTCTATTTGCATAATGGATATGTCACTTTAATTTCCCTATGTTGTCACAAAATATCACTTTTTTTTTTAGGGCCTTTCAGGAAATAAGGGACTACCTGGAATCAAAGGTGATAAGGTGATTTAAATATTAATATTATCACAGAGCTAATTTCTCATTGCAGTTGTTTTTTTCTTTCAAGTAAACTGTAGAAATTACTTTATTTTTAATAATGTGATCTAATTTGTATTATGAATAATATTAACTTTTCAGAAGTAGTTAAAATAATATATTATTCTTAATACTTGTTTTCTTATAATATTACTGTGTTTATATCTTTGTATATACTGTGCTGTCTAGGGTGAACAAGGCATGGCAGGAGAACAAGGAGAACCAGGGTATCCTGGAGATAAGGTATCTCCTATACCACTGATTTTATGAAAATATGAAACAGTATAATTTCAAAAGAAATAATGCTTATTAATTTAACCTTGTATTTTGTTAGGATATGATATCAATGTAGTTTTAAGTTCTTGATTGAAATGAATTTTTTATTATATGCCTATGGTTTTTAAATTTGCTTTCAAATAAAGGTTATCTGCCTTTTGTGGTATAATAGCATTCTCTTCCCTCTATTATTCTTTTCTTTTAGGGCACTGTTGGTTTGCCAGGACTGCCAGGGATGAGAGGAAAGCCAGGACTTTCAGTAGGTTTGAACTTTTGCTTTATTCTTTCCCATTAACAGAGTGCATACCAAGCATAAATATTGGTACTTGCTGATGTGAGCAGGATACAAGAAGCTTACTATAAGACTATCAGTCTTGCATTTTTGCTCTTCAGTTTTAGAATATATCTCAAGTGTTCAACTCATATTCCATAGAATATTGGACCTTCTCCTAACCCCAAATCTTGGTCAAAGCTAAGTTTCTATGAACTCTAAAGATCTTGGTTATGCTATTTCTCCTAATGACCCATTACAAATAGTATTTAAATTAAATTGGAGTTTTTAACACAGAAAACATAAAACATGTTAAATAGTATTTTTATTTTTCCAAATATCAGTCCCATTAAGGAAATAGTCTGAAAAAAAGATAGCATGTCACACTCCTTGGTGGTTCCAAATATTCTAATTTCTTTTCCTTTTTTCTAATTCTTAGGCATCAATTAGTTGAAAGAAAAGTGACATTATGTTGTAGTTAGCATAAAACTCACAAATTATTAAACTAAAATTAATAATTAAAATCATTCACAATGTATCTTTGAATATTTAAAATTATAATACTTATTAGAGTTAACATTTATTGAGTGTTTACAATGTGCAAGGCAGTATTTCTAGAGACTGTCATCTAACTTAATGTGCATGACAGTCCTATGCTGCTGATGCTTTTGTTGCTCCTGTTTTATAGATTAAGGAAATTGAGGCACAAGAGTGTTTAATAACCTGCCCAAGGTCCCATAGATAGTAGGTGGCCACCTAGGAAAATCTAGGTAATCAAGTGTATCACAGCTCATGTTCTTAGCCACTATGATAAAATGCTTTAGGGTTTAGTGGTTTTTTAATTTTATTATTCTTTTTTATTACTTGACAGGTAGAGTTATATATAGTGAGAGAGACAGAGAGAAAGGTCTTCCTTCTGTTGGTTCACCCCCCAGATGGCTGCTACTGCCAGCGCTGCGCTGATTTGAAGCCAGGAGCCAGGTGCTTCCTCCTGGTCTCCCATGCGGGTGCAGGGGCCCAAGCTCTTGGGCCATCTTCCACTGCCCTCCTGTGCCACAGCAGAGAGCTGGCCTGGAAAAGGAGCAACTGGGACTAGAACCCAAGGTGCCAGCGCCGCAGGCAGAGGATTAACCAAGTGAACCATGTCGCCGACTCCCCTAGGATTTAGTGTTTTAAGATTTTAACATTGATTACAACTCTGTGATGGTGAATATAGTTGGAAAAATAGAAATAGAAATATAATTTGTTAATATTACATTAAAATATGCATTGAAAGTAAGATGTTGTTTACCTGAGCAATTCATCAAATTCCTTCTAACTCCACCCTCCCGTCTAAGGGTTAATTAGTGCTGCATCTCAGGAGGCACTATTAAGTTTCAGAGCTTCATGTGTACTGTTTTTGTGACTTCCAACAGTCACAATATTTTACAAATACTTCTCAGGGATTATTTAATCCAAAGAACAGTTTTTTTCATCTTTGATGCTATGTTACCAGTGACCTCTGCCTTTACCAGTTTTGTGCCCTGAAATGATGGCAGCTAATTCAGCCATGTACAGCCATGTGCCAAGGTTTGAACCCAGCTTTTGAAGCTCAAAACTGTAAAGTGCACACGTAAGGTAATGAGATTAGGTCGTGAAGTTAACAGACAGTTTCTGCTTTTTGTGTATGACTCCAAACTGCAGTGACCGGAAAAAATAAGACTTTAATTTTTACATCATTTTCCCCCTGTTAATATGATGGTTTTCTAACTTCTGATAGTAAACAGAAAAGAAACAACACACCATCTAAAGCCAATACATAAAATATACCAATACTATATCTTATGATTTACAATTAACTTTTTGAGAAAGCTACAGCCTAATATGATTATATAAGGCAAGATATTTTACTGTTCTTTATTGTTTGATTTAATCTATATTGATAAGATGTTTATGAGAGGATAAAAATTACTAGCCTGAGAGATGGAGATGGGTTCTAGCTCCAGTTCTGACACTTCACATGTTATGATCTTGGTCATCTAACCACTGTGATACAGTTTCTCACGTTTAAAATAAGAGATGGGGGTGCAGTGTGTTAAGCCTCTACATGGGATGCTCACATCCCATATTACATTGAGTGGTTCACATCCCAGCTACTCCACTTTTGATCCAGCTTCCTGCTAATGTATGTCCTAAAGGGCAGCAGAAGATGGCCCAAGTGCTTTAGCCCCTGCCATTCACATAGGAGACAAGGATGGAGTTGCAGTCCCTTGGCTTTGGCCTCGTACAGCCCTGACCATTGCAGGCATTTGGGGAGTGAACCAGTGGATGGACAGTTTCTCTTTCTCTCTCTCACTTTGCCTTTCCAGGAAATGAAAATAAATAAATATAATTTTTAAGATTTCTTGTACCTATGTGAGCTTAATATTTTTTTCTCCTAGTAATAGCGATTACCAATATTTCTCAAGCTAAAGAAAAAGCTGAGAGCCTATTTTTTCTTTAACAAATTTGTCTTAAAACTTCCTCTAAATCTTAAAATTAAAAAACAAAACAGGGGAGTGGTGAGGGCTGGCGCTGTAGATTAAGCCTTTGCCTGCAGCATTGGCATTGCATATGGATGACGGTTGTGTCCTAGCTGCTCCCATTTCCAATCCAGCTCCCTGCTGATGGCTTGGGAAAACAGTGGAAGATGGCCCATGTGCTTTTGACCCTGCACCCACATGAGAGACCTGGAAGAAGCTCCTGGATCCTGATTCAGATTGGCCCAGCTCTGGCCGTTGTGGCCGTTTGGGGAGTGAACCAATGGTTGGAAGTCCTCTTCCTCTGTCTCTCTCTGTCTAACTCTGACTCTCAAATAAATAATAAATAAATTAAAAAAAAAAAACACTTTTTCCCCATGAAAGAAGTCACAAGAAATGTTGAGTTTCTTTTAAGGCAGAGAACAAGAAATGATGAGAGTGAGGCTTTTACTTGCTCATTTTATACTTTCCTGGACTATTCTAATAAAAAAGAAAATTGTGTCTCATGTCATCAGGGAATACTTTGGTAGGGAGATAATTGAGCATTTATGTTTGCTTCATCAAACATTTAAAAAATATATACTTCTGGCTGACAATATGATAAGGACTCAGGAATTATTATTAGTGAGGTGGTCATGTATTTAGTTTTTTTTTTCTTGCTTGTATCTTATTAATAGGAAGAAATATAGATTTTTTTGACCCATAAACTTCCCTTGTTATAGAAAGATACTTTATGCTTGCATAGAATTAGTTATTATATTAAGAAACTGACTCTGACACTTGTTTATACAAGTTAGTGCCTACCTAAAACACTTGTTTAATGTCATGTAATGAATGCCAAATTCATAAAAGGGTGTTTCCCATTTCTTTACCCTACTTTTACTTTTCTGTCATGCAAGATATTAGTGTTACTGACATTGTTTCCAAGTGGGTCCAAGTTGTAACATGAAAGAACATTTTTGAGATATAAGAAAGAGTATCCTGATCTGGATGGTTTTACCTCACAGAATAGGAAAGCTTTGCTCTGTGAGTATTCAAAGTATACACAAAACAACCACTCTGGAGTTCCTTGGAAGTCTTGTTTCATTGAGGCGTAAAAAATGTCCTTTCTACTTTTTAACTAGGCTTTTCTATCACTTGTAGAGTTTTACAAAACAAAGAATTATTCTGAAGAATGATTATAATTATTCCATAATTTATATTTTTAAATATCTGACTGTCAGTCAACGTTTCTGAAAACAAAGGCCTTTTTGTGTGGAATTTTTTTTTTCCTTGCTGCTTGTAAATTTAGGGTTTTGGTTGAATTTTGCCACTAGAGGGCCTCATCTGTGTCTCTCTAAGAGAGGTGCTTGTCCTAAGGATGTATGTACTGATTCTTATGGATCACAGTGTTTGTGTTTGTTTTGTTTCATTGAAAAAAGGGAACTTAAGTGGATCTTTGCATAATATTTCATGAACTTTCTTCAGATTTGATTACAGTAATTGTATCGTCCTGTTTTATGTACAGATACCTCAGCACTGAGAATGTATCCAGTGCATGAGGGAAACTGTGTTTACGGGTTATCTCATGTTGTATCTTCCAATTTTATGTACCTGGGACCTACTTGAATAAAATTCTAAGGTCACATAGAAATTTTACATAACATAAATAATGAATTCAATAGTTTTTCTTATGGAAACAAGGATATCATTATACTCAGGTCTTCCCTATTCCATAATTAACACCTGTTTTGAACATTACCAACTTTCTCTAGACTTTCTCTCAGACTTCATATGAACCTCTTTCTCTCCTCTCACTTTCTTCTCTATTATTGATTTTACATCTGAAATATGAAAGTCAATATATTGAAAACCAAATCCCCCCCCCCCCCCCAATGAACAAAGCAATAGCAGAGGTAAATTGCACCTTAGACCATTTGGACCTAATAGACATCTACAGAACCTTCCATCCAACAGCTGCAGAATACACATTCCTCTCAACAGCACATGGAACATTCTCCAGGATAATTCTATGGTAGGTCACAAGCAGTTTCAACAAGTTTAAAAGTATAGAATTGTACTGAATATCTTTTCTGAACACAGTGCAATATAATCAGAAATCACTAACAACAGAAGCTTTTGAAAGAATCAAAGCAATCTGAGAATCCAGCAAGGGGCAGAATGTGAAGAAAAGATTAATGATTGTAAAATCGATTAATATTAATGAGTACTCTCTTTGTGCTGGGCATTGTGCTTGGCACTTTACATATAATTAACCCTCAAATTAACCTTTGCAATGACTCTGTGAGAATGTTAGTACTATTGTCAATAATTGTAGGTTATTGATGAGAAAAGTGAGGCATAGACAGATTCAGAAACCAGAATTTAATCCAAGTGAGTCTTAAATACTAAATCAGGCCACCAAAAGTATTAAAAGGGAGAGAAGAGTTGTATTAACAATCCTAGGACTCTGGTTATTTATAAAAGCAACTCCTCATTTAGATGATCACTACTTCATGAGGTTCAGGTTTATTGTCTTATATCTGAAAGAAACAATTTTTTACCTTTACTTGAGCACTTAATAAATATGTTTATATCTCTACTTTATGGGAGCAAATATATTATATCAAAAATATTATACTTAAATAAGTTTCACAATGATGAGGGCCATAAATTAAATCTCTGGAAAGGCATTAGAACTTTGACATAATATACTGTGTGCTGTTTGCTTGCCATATGCCCGTTTTCTCTTTTAATTGTGGTTTTAAAGTTAATGTTTATATTTTTGTTCCTACCCTTTCTCCACCTAGGGTCAACCAGGTGACCCAGGACCTCAAGGACCACCTGGCCCTCCAGGACCAGAGGTAAATATTAGTGGAAAGATAATAAATTTGAAACAAAAATAGTGGAAATTAAACTTAATTGGTAAAACATGTTTTTACATGGAAGGCTGAAGGAAGAGTCTCTTTAATGTTTATATTTGTACAAATAGTTTGGACTAATTTTTTTCTGTTGTGTCAGGAGGTCTGCAGCAGTGATTCTAAGGGAAGAAGGTTCTAGTGACATTTTTGGTCTTAATTCTGTCACAGCTGATTTATTTGTTCTGTATTACAGCTATTAATGACACATACTTAGGACTTGAAATCAAATTTCAAGACAAAAGCTCCACTGAATTGTTAATGCAAAATGCTTCCAAGACTTATTATATGCGTGCATCATGGATCTCATATTTCAGAATAAACATAGTTAAGTCTATAGTACATGTATCAGATTTGTTTGTATATTCTTTAAACTTTTGACTTTGACTTAATGCCTGATACAGAGCCACTTTCATTTCTGAAAGTGGACATGGACATAATCTTCTCAGATGAAACAGTTAGGTTTCGTTGAATCTTTTAATGCACCAGAGATATTATATATAGATATAAAGCTTGTGAAGCTCACTCTAGTTTCAGAAAATATACCTGTACGTAAAAGGTACTTCCCAAAATTCATGGAAAATGGAATTAAAATATAAATTTATTTGAAGCAATTTTTTAAAATTCACACTTCATTTCTTATACTTATCTCTGTTGACCTTTTGAGGAACTCTCAAATGCATGATTTCAAAAACAATGTTTGCACCAAAATAAACTTATTTGCTTTTCCACAAGCATTTTGAAATGCCTTCATTTGTGTACACATATACATATACATAAATATCCATACACAACTGATAGATTCAACCGTGAATCTGTGAAAATAAATTTGGCTTCAGAATAAATAAATCAGAGCCATAAAATCACCATAGTGGCAGAGCAGTACACAGGATTTATAGGAACTGATTCATTTCTCTCTCTCTCTCTCTCTCTCTCTCTCTCTCTCTCTCTCTGTAAACTGTAAGATCTACTTCTTACTCAATGAATGTCTTGCAGTGTTGGCTGATTTCTTTAATGAATATGTATTCTTATTTATTATCTAATCTAAATATACATTGGATGTGGGTGTTGTGGAACTCCAGGGCAAGCCACCCCTTGGCACATCTGCAACAATATTGTACTGACTGGTTGTGTCCCTGCTACTCCGTGCTTCTGTTCCAGCCCCGTGCTAATGTGCCTGGGAGGCAGCAGATGATGGCCCAGGTACCTGGAAACCTGCCACCCACATGGGATACCTGGATAGAGTTCCTAACTTGTGACCTCAACTTTGCCTAGGCTGCTGTTGTGGGCATTTGTGGAGGGAAGCAGCAAGTGGAATCTCTCTCTCTCTGCCTTTCAAAAAATAAATAAATAAATATTTAAAAACCAAAGAAAAACGCAATGAATATTGATAGTTCAAAAATCTTAAAAAAAATTGCTTTGCTCCTGGTCTTATTGATAGGGATACAATAGGAAGTAAAGCACAGCAGGAGATTCATAAGTTTGTCTCTTTGTATGAATCTACATTATTTTAATCATTTTTAATGAAAATTTTTCTGAAATAGTCTTTTCATACTGAAGATACAGAATCTAATTGAACGTTCATTATATTTAAAGATTATTATTATGACGACATTTTTTTATTATGATAACTGTAGTTGCAGGTGAATTTTGCCCTGGAAAATTCTTTGTAGCCTCTTTGCTATCAGTATAGCTTGGAATCATTTTCTTCTTTCTCATAAAGCTTGGTCAAGGGATGTATTAGCCATATTTTCACTCATTACTTGTTCTTCCAAAGTTGTTTCTCTTTTCTGTTACCTTTGAAATTTGTCACCAGTGGAGCCGGCGCCGTGGCTCACTTGGTTAATCCTCCACCTGCGGCACCGGCATCCCATAGGGGCACTGGGTTCTAGTCCCAGTTGCTCCTCTTCCAGTCTAGCTTTCTGCTGTGGCCTGGGAGGGCAGTGGAGGATGGCCCAAGTGCTTGGGCCCCTACATCCACGTGGGAGACCAGGAGGAAGCACCTGACTCCTGGCTTCGGATCAGCGCAGCACCGACCATAACGGCCATTTGGGGAGTGAACCAACAGAAGCAAGACCTTTCTCTCTGTCTCTCTCTCTCTCTCACTGTCTACAACTCTACCTGTCAAATAAATAAATAAATAAAATTAAAAAAAAAAAAACTTGTCACCAATATTCAAGGCATTATGTAATTGTCTTTGATGTTTGCACGAATACAAGGTCCTGAGCCGTTACTTTATACCTATTCATCCTCTTCACATTTCATAAATATTTTCATAGGGATATATATGTGACATATATTATCTCAAGAACTGGTGCAAGGTTGTTTTGGGAAATGACACCTAATCCAAAGATCATAACTCTTCATGATCATAAAAATATGCTACTCAACCATATATGAGGCAGCTTTTTTTTCCCAAACTCTTCTTAACATTAGTCTCTTAATAGAATTTCCCATACATAAAATCAAAATAGGATATTTAATAACAAAGGACAGCTGGAAATTTTGGACTTACCTAGTGGATAACTTTTCTTGGGTTGAGAATCTTATATGTTGTGTTAAATTTAAACTTTATCCAATTGACACATCCAAAGATTTCTTAAGAAGGTATGGAATTATCAGGCTTGTGCCTTACACTTATGCATGGTTGCAGGGGTTAAAGCAAAACAGAATGAGGGATACAGGGGTGAAAAAAGACAATTCATACTGATGTAGAAGGATTATGGCAATCAAACAGGGGAATAATGAGGAAGCTCTGTGCCAATAGAGAGGAAAGGACGGAAATATCACGTATAGCACTTAAACCATTCAATTCACTTCATTCCGTTTGTGAAAGAGAGCATTCTGAAACATTGAATAAAAGCGGAGAAAACGGAACAGGGGATATTGAGGATGGTTTGAAATAATGCTTTGGTTATGAATCTGTTGGGACTAAAATGCTTGCAGAATGTAAGAAAATTAATAAATGTACAGATACATAGACCTAAATCTCTGAAGAATTAAGTAGTTTACAGACACCTGTTTATATTGCCATCCACATAAAGGCATTAGACAAAGCAGTTGTAATCGATGAAATCATTTAGGGAGAGTTCATGAAACAAGATGCTTTGTGCAATCACCTGTTGCCTCTCAGGGTGCACATTAGCAGGAAACTAAAATCGGAAATGAAACCAAGATTCAAACCCAAGAACTTAGATATGGGATGCAGGCTTTCTAAGTAACCTTTTAATTGCTAGGCAAAATGCATGCCACACAATTTTATCTCTTAATCATTATTATGCTTTCAGTAACATTCTTTAGCAAATGCCATTTTGGGATAGTATATGTCAGTGGCAGGTTAAATTTATTCAAGGCTGCTGAAAGATGCAGAATAATAATTATTTTCTTTAAAACTTTATTAACATCACATCTTTGTCAGGCAGTTTTGGTGGTTGCTGTGATAAAACCTTATACAGTGAAAAACTATGTGGGCCAAGAAATGAGGAAAAAGAAATTGCACGGTGCCCAACAGGCAGACATTTCTCATCACCAAGTCATTATAGTTATTTAACTATAAAATGAAATGTTTTTTAAAAGGACTCCATAAGGAGAGTCATATTTTAAGAAAAACACTTGCATTAAGCAAATACTGAATTTTTAATGATATATTTTTAAATGAGTTCATTCTTCCAGAAAAGTTTGAGAAATCATTCTAAGACCAAAACTATGCTTGAAAATGTTACTTAGAGAAGTACACTATCCTCCCTGCCTTGCCCCCCCGTCTTAGCCCCCTATTCTTCAGTGTTCTTGTTAACTCCCAGAGTCAGTCTCATTAGTTTCTGATTTATTCTTCTTGTATGTGGGGTGTGTGTGTGTGTGTGTGTGTGTCTTAGTGAGCAGATATATGTCTTTTTTTCCCTTATTGGTACTTTTTTCTAACATAGAAGGTTATATACCAAAGATATTATTTTACAATTTTTACTCTTATTTACTTAAAAATGTATTCTGGAAATCATAGTAAATTAGTTCATTGAGCTCTTACTCAGTTTTCCAGATTCACAGTACTTTACTACGTTGATTTATCATAATTTTTTTAAACATTTATTTAGTAAATATAATTTTCCAAACTACAGTTTATGGATTACAATGGCTATTCCCCCCCCATAACTTCCCTCCCACCCGCACCCCTCCCATTTCCTGCTCCCTCTCCTATTCCATTCACATCAAGATTCATTTTCAATTATCTTTGTATACAGAAGATCGATTTAGTATCTATTAAGTAGAGATTTCATCAGTTTGCACCCACACAGAACATAAAGTGTAAAACAGTTTGAGTACTAGTTATAGCATTACTTCACATTGGACAACACATTAAGGACAGTGATCCCACATGAGGTGTAAATACACAGTGACTCCTGTTGTTGACTTGACAATTTGACACTCTTGTTTATGGCGTCAGAAATCTCCCTAGGCTCTAGTCATGAGTTGCCAAGGCTATGGAAGCCTCTTGAGTTTGCTGACTTCGATCTTATTTAGACAAGGTCATAGTCAAAGTGGAAGTTCTCTCCTCCCTTCAGAGAAAGGTATCTCCTCCTTTGATGGCCCATGCTTTCTACTGGGATCTCACTCACAGAGATCTTTCATTTAGGTTTGGTTGTTTTTTTGTTTGTTTGTTTGTTTGCCAGAGTGTCTTGGCTTACCATGCCTAAAATACTCTCATGGGCTCCTAGGCCAGATCCGAATGCTGTAAGGTCTGATTCTGAGGCCAGAGTGCTGTTTAGGACATCTGCCATTTTATGAGTCTGCTGTGTATCCCACTTCCCATGTTGAATTGTTCTCTCCCCTTTTTATTCTATCAGTTAGTATTCGCAGACACTAGTCTTGTTTGTGTGATTCCTTTTTATCATAATTTTTCAGTCATTATTGTATGTGAGGTAATTTGGATTGTTTCTGGCATTTTACAATTA